CTGAACCGCTTTTTAGCATATCCTTCTTAGCCCAGACTTCAGTTGTGCTATCAGAAATCTACTTATGAATAAGTTAACATCTTGTGTGCTTCTTTCCAGGGTGGCAACGTTAGCGCGCACTCTTGCCATTTGGTGGGTAGTGCCTTGTCCGATCCGTATTTGAGTTTTGCAGCCGCAATGTGTGGTTTGGCTGGCCCACTTCACGGTTTGGCCAATCAAGAGGTTCTATTGTGGATCACAAAGCTTCGCGAAACTATCGGCGATCATCCTACAGATGAACAAGTGAAAAATTATGTCCAGGATACCCTCAAAAGCGGACGTGTAAGTTTAATAAGCGCTTCCTCTTGATTGCTGTTAGCAGCTGTTTTTACTTTCTGTTCACACTTGAAAACGATGGTCCATCGTAACCCACAAACCTATCCGTCGACATTGAATTCTAAGACATACCACAGCTGAGTGTTTTAGGGTGTTTACTGAAGTTTTCGGCTTAAAGTTTTTGATTAAATTTGCTAAAACGCCGTCACAAATTCAGTTGATTTCAGTTTATCAGCTATAAACCATGAACCACAGGTACACTGGTTCCAGCTGGCGCAGTCTCGACCCTCGGAAAGTGTGTGTGTGTGTGTGGGACACACGGCCAAGCTTTGTTGGCAATGGCATGTTCAGTTAGTTCGGGAACTGGGTGGCTACGTATTGAAGGCGATATCTTTGATTCATGAGCACCACTGACTGCGCAACCGGACCATTTCTGTCGGTGTCACTAACCGTTGGTGATTTGAGTCCCGAGGTCCCCATCCAGGGAGGCCTCAGTTGCCGACTCGACTAAGTTCACTGGTTAAAGTCCATAAATCCTCCAGCTCTCTGTGGTTTCTACTCAGCACAAAGCTGCGCAAAAAGAGCTCTGCGAGGCAGACGGTCATCTGGAATGCGGAGTACATGTCCTAACCGGTGTAACTTATGAAGCGTGAGTAATTCATCTATCGCTGGGGAGCTCCTTGTTAGCTTACCTCAGCCCTATTAATGCGATGTTCCCACCAGACCCGACTAATGTTTCGGAGATACCGATGGTCAAACACCGACATCTTTCGTGTATGTCTTAAGCGCCAGAGGCCACGTTTCGGATCCATAAAGCAGCACCGCAGTGTAAACTTTGCCCTTGATAGACAAACTGACGTCGCGTCGGCGCCATAGGTGTCGGAGGTTGGCAAAAGCTGTCCTGGCCTTCCCGATTCGAGGAATAATCTCATCTCCAGCCAGGCCACCGAGTCCTATACATTACGTACTCGGCGCACCGGTGAGCGATGCAGCACATTCCACCGACTAGATAATAGGAGAATGAATGATTCACCACAGTTTAGTACAAAGATATAAAACCATTATCTAGTGCAGAACTACAGTGTGCTTATAGGGGTCAAAATGAAACGAGTGGACCAATTAGTTAGAGCGCGAATTTACTGACCAGAAGGTCCGTGGTTCGAACCCGTCCTCTGCCTCTCGACTTCCTCTGTCTAGGCTTTGGCAACCTGGCAGTACCCCAGCCCTCGTGCAACCTTCGTGTGGCATGGCAGCTAGGCACCGAAAAGCTGTTACAGCTGAACGACTGGTCAATATTCTGAAGTGGCTGATTTTTAGCACTTGATTTAGGCGCGATTTGATTAATTTGAGTCGGTTTTTATATGGAGTTGTGCATTCGTCCTATATCCCGTATTTTGAACATGCGTTTTCTCTCGAAATCTAGTTCCGTTGGCTCATGGGCACTGGTTTTCATGGTCGATTGACCCACCGACATCGGTCCGTATGCTAGTATGCTGTTCATGCTTTTCCCGCGTTTCAGTACTCTTTTTAACGCTTTTTACCATTTTACTTATTTTATACAGGTAATCCCCGGTTTCGGACACGCAGTTTTGCGAAAAACGGATCCTCGTTACATGTGTTCGCGTGAATTTGCATTAAAGCACTTCCCAGACGATCCCTTGTTCAAAATCACTAGTCAATTGTACACCATCGTTCCGCCAGTCCTCCAACAGTTAGGTAAAGTACAAAACCCGTGGCCAAATGTTGACGCTAATTCCGGTATGCTGCTCCAGGTGGGTTCTTCAAGGTTTATCCTTCGAATTTTAGAGCTTACTCAAATAGAACCCAGCCCGATGAGCCAGTATCTGGTGTTTAGACACATCCTAGCTCCTTTGCATTGTATCTTGCTGGTCCGAAGGATGTTATGGTCCGTTGAGTTCATCATCAATTGTGAACTGTGCGACTGGGTGGGGTCCCTGAGATGCATCGTGATTCTGAACTATGCGTGGAGAGGCCAACAAACAGCTGTTCCAGCGTTAGTGAATGCTGATTCGAAATCTTCCACCCTATGTGGATTAATCTAATCTGACCAATTGACTTTTCAGCTTTAAAGTCGTAAAACACTAATGCTTCACTGTCGAACAACGGCAGATCTGCTTCCATCAATCGGTTGGTGGCCGCATGCTCAGAATTTCAGTGGTCGGTGCGCACACCTCAAGCGCGATAGCTGTTGTCACCCCTTGAAAGACAGAGACGGTTAACTCTTGAAGTACACTTCAAAAGACCAACCGGCAGTGATATCTTCCAAGGACGTCAGCCAAGCCCTACTTACATGTTTCGTTCTGCAGACCACTTTACTGATGCACAGTTTGCGGCCCCTTCTGCGGGCATAGATGCTATCCATTACTTTATGTTGCTGACTTTCGGCGTTCTCAATGTAATCGAACCGACAATAAGCGTTGCGCGATGTTGCTATTTGGTTTGTGACCAACCCTGCGAATCATAACAGGAAACAAAACAAGATCCTGACCCAATAGGATGCACTCGGATTTGTTCCTATCCACTTCTCACTTTCGGCAACACGGAACCAATCGATCACTAAGGCTACACATCTGTTTAATTCCAGTGACAGTATATTTTTCCCATTTACTACTGACCGTGATTTAGGTTCTTGTATACATATCCGGTGCTGTCGATTTTACCTGACTGAGCACAATATACTCACCTCATATTCTCTTGTTTCAATTCCCTCAGCTTTATCTTTCTTTCTCTTTACCTCTCGCCTTTCAATTTAGCACTACGGATTGACAGAAATGCAGTACTATACGGTTTTGTTTGGCGTCTCTCGAGCCCAAGGTGTACTGGCCTCGTTGCTTTGGGATCGTGCCCTCAACCTACCCATCGAACGTCCAAAGTCGCTCTCTACCAACGACCTAATGGCTTTAGTGAAGGCGAAAGCTGCCTAACCCTGTTTCGAATACGGCCAACTTATCCGAATTATTGAACTCTCGGCCCTCAGATATGCAGCTATCCCAAACGCAATAGGTCGTGACAGCCCAGCCCAACCCAGTTCAGCATCGTTATCTTAGATGAACCTATCGTTTTGCTACCTGTGGCTCCCTTTATCGGTGTGAACTCGCTCTGATGGCTGATGAAATGTTTCCACCACCCATGTATTCTCCTTGTCTTCTACATCCGCACGTTGTTTGGGCTTTTGAGGGACCGGGAATCGTTCTAATTCGCATTTACTGGACACAGTTATCCTGTTTACCATATTTGCGACATGTTACCGCTAGGATTACTAGTTTTTTTCGTAAAGCCTTTGTCCCATTACTTGCTCTAATATGTATGCCTGCGCATAGAGCAAGAAATTTATAGTATCTCGGCGTTATTCCATTTCGCTGCTGTCTTCATTCACACTATTGCATACGCATTTTCACACATTTCTGAATACACACCCCCGTTATCTCACTGAACCTAGCTTTTTTCTTCGTTCACCGACCTTTGCCGAACGGATTGTTGGTCGGACACCCAAATTCTTGCTGTCGTTGGATTCCTCAGTTTTCTCCAACTCATTGGTGGGTGGGTTCGATGAGTGAATCCCGATTATTTCCTTCCCTACGGTTTTTTACTGCACACGAGTGCTGTAAATGTGTAAAAGGTGGACCTATTATCGGGCGTTCTGGCACAAATAAAAAACGAGTAGGGTGATAAAACAAAATACTACCAACAATTAGTTTTCGTTTGACTGTTGTTGTATTAAGTCGTAGACCTATCTCTATTTGTGGTTCGGAATGCAGGACCCTCGCGGGCTATAGAGGAAAATGTTGGTAGCTCAGGTAGCGTAGATGGTGATCGTTGGCTTGTTCGCTGAGCTGGGCTATTCGATTGCAAACGTTTCGTCACCAATCAAGGTTACACCATCAGCTGCTGCGTACAGCAGGACGAGTAGGAGAAAAATACTACTGCTTACGCCTCCCTTAAACTTTCACGTATTCCAAATTTGGATGCTACGTCTGCAGGTCCCAGCGCTAATACTGACCACCTTGTTCGCCGAAATCCGGTCTAACTAGTTACCATTGATGTTCACACGCAGAAGCGAGCAGGTCAACAAGTGGTTCTTTCTCGTACGTCGGATTCCCTTTGCTCTGATGCATGGTTTCTGTCAGAAACATGGCATCTCAGAATATTTGCGATAGGTTCCACCCCCTCACCCACTCTTTTTCCTTCTACTCTAAGGCTTTAAATATAATGAGATCAACTTTGTGGTTGTACGGCAGTGTGGCATCAGTGTCAACACTGACGTTGCTGTCTCTGGTGATGATGGCACAATTTGTATGCCATGCGACTCCATCGTTGGTGTGCAGTTACACAGACAATGAAAATTGCTTTCACATTAGATACGAACGTATGCTTCATCGAGGACTTCCCCTAACTTCTTGGGTAGTTATTTTAGATTGTGGAGGGGAATTATGAGTGGCCTGGAAACAAAAAAGCGAGAGATTCAGCTGGGTTCCAGGTGAGTCTCGCAAAACCAAATTAGTTTGCAAATGAGTGTACTTCGCTGATTTCGTGCAATTTGGTTTCAAGTAGAACATAAGGTTAACGGGACTGCGCCTACCTGATGAGCCCCAAGGAGGCGAAATCGACCGTGCGCTTTCGAGTTTTCAGCAACCTTATGAGTAATGCATTACAAAAATATATGTATCGAGATACCTGGAATATCGTAGCGACCGAAACATGAGGCGGTCTGGTGCAGCACATTCAGTTGCCTGGAAACATCAAAATAAAATGAGAGATCCGGTTGGATTCCAGGTGAGTTCCCCGGAAAACCAAATTAGCTTGCAAATGAGTATTTCGCTAATTATGAGTCATGTTGTTTTTTTAACTCGTCACGTGCTTATAGCCCTCGTAAAATCGCCAACATTCAGGTCAGTCTTCACGTGAAACGGAGCACAACAAGTTGCCTACATGCACAAAATACTGCACGGGAGCATGCGAGTATTTCAATAAATCATAGTGGAAGAGTGTATGATGCATCCCCTGCATCATTTGGCAAAAGGATGACAATAGCTTGGAATAGTCGAGCGGACAGTCGTTCCCTTTCGTCTATTGCAGTGTGAGTCTTTAAGCCAAACAGCTTTTGCTTTTTAGATTTGTCCTTATTAGCCGGTCACCAACAAACCTGTGGGCATCGATTCAGCTTGGATAGACGTGACTGTTTAATTCGCCTATTCGGGCCACATGCTCCTACCCTTTTCACTATGATGTCAACGTTCACATGCATTTCTGGGCCACCAAGGTTCATGCCGCTTTAGTGATAACCACAACCAGTCTAGCACTCCAAGTGACTTGAAAGTGGAGAGCGGTGTCACTTTTTCATACAGGTGTAAATCGAAGATGTGCGTACACGTGCCTATACAATGCACCCGTCGGGAGTTCCGGTAACTGAGGGCGCTCTTTGGACTATGCGAAAGGTCGTGCGGCATTGCGGGCCCAATAGAAAATTTCATCTTTCAGGGCACCTTAGTTTCACATTCTGACACTTTAGGGCTGCCTTCGTGAGGTCTCAGTAAAGAAATGTATTAGGATAGTTACAAAAACAGAGATCACCTTAGTTTTTCTATTCAAAAATTGACTTTTTATGGTAGTGACATTGAGTGTATTAGTCACCAGGCGACCCGGTGACGCATCATTTTGTGAGTCGCTTGATTTGAAGTTGTTGTTTGTTTTAACCGTGAAACTGTCATTCACGGGCGGAATAAAGAACTTGGGTCTAGAGGTGCCGGTGACACTGATTATTGGTCAGAAACATATGATGTTTGAATCACATGAGACCCGTCTGTACCGTGCTTTTTGTCTCTTGTTATCGAGACTTAAGTGCTATTGATGTCAGGGCTGGTAGTGTTGGCCGTGTGAATGGCGTTTGACCTCTTAAAAGAAGTTCTACAGGATGTGAGGTTGTGGCATTGTAGTGACTTTGTATGTGTAAGCTGACACCACATGTGTCTGGGGGCTGCTGACGTTACATCTACATGAGACTCCATTACGCAGTTTTCTCCTTAGAGCAGGCGCACTCACTTTGAATGGCTCAACTAGTCTTAGTTGGGAGGCTATGTTCTTTAGGAGGAACACTCTTCGTCGACCTTATGAACAAATTTCGATAATAATATAGTGGAACACAGAGGCTAATACACTAACTGAGACTTCGTCCTGTCAGTGAGACCATGCTGAAAAACACTGTACAGCTGTTTCATCCTTGCCTAGAATCCGCATTGCGCACCTCACAAAACTCAGAGAATTTCGAATCCTCAACCTTCCGGCCAGTGGTTGAACAATAAACCGTTGGGTCTCGAGCGACTGAACTGGTCAGCCATGCTACGACTAAGATGATCACCATTGTTAACATCTCACCAAGCCGTTGAGATGACCTTGCCCACGAACATTGCCACTATGATGACTGTTCAGTGATAGGGCGACTGCTTTAGAAACGGCAACTGGTCGTCCATCACATGTTTCGACCAGATGAAAGCGACGTCTTTTCTCACGCTTTAAGAAGACAAGCTGGAGTTATCGATTGGACTTTCCTCTCTTAGTCACTTAATGAAGTCCAACAAGAAATGGTCTCTTGTGAGAGGTCCCCCCCTAGTGTGGGCGTTTTTGTTCGGTCAGATACACCCCTAGCAATCAGACTCTCGAAAACCGTTTGTAGTCTACACAACTGCATCGGATGTCTGGTCTGATGACAGATGTAGATGGGGTGGGGTTCTGGTTTTAGGCCTACCATGCTTTTGTAAATCAGATGGTTAATTCTCATGAGATCATCCGTCGAAATAGATCATTTCTGTTACCCACAAGGAGTATTTCAATAACAGCAGTAGACTTGAAATGATCTCTACAGGAGGACGAATGTAGACGAAGCAAATATAACCACGGATGTTCAGCACCTCCGCCCAAAATCGACATTACCCTGTTTCTAAAAATACCAATTTACATAAGTAACGATTATTCCTTAAAATAGCCTATCTTCTGGACTTGATTATTCCAGATGTAATCGAAACGTTGTTTGGTATGAAGACCAAGAGTTCTCTAAAGTTCGGAAGAATTAATAAGTGTAGAACACAGGTTTACATTTTAAAATTAATTAGGTGTACAATGTATCCCACTTAGAAGGACCATCATCAGGGGACACCGATCTTAAGAGGCAACTTTGAGTTGGCTCTTCAGTAGTAGCCTCCCTTCTAAAAGGGACCAGGTCAAAGATGGCCCGTCCTTTCAAGTGGTGCCTCGAGGGAGGACAAATGTGCACTTGTGTTGTTTCAAGGAGAGTATCTCCAAAGCAGACCAAAGGTAGATATTTTGGGGTGATCTCAGCGAACAAGTGTAGCAAAGTTGTGCTGTCTGCATCGAATATCTTCTAGGAGGGATTTAACCTCTAAGAATGACCACAATTTGTCTCATTTAGAAGGTATCCATAGCAGACTGCTATGTGTCGTACGCATGAAGGTCGTGTGATGGGACCCCGGTCACTTTGTGAGGATGGTTTCTGGACATAGCCCTTGGAATTGGATCACCGCATGCGGTGTGTGCGTAGTCGATTGCGGTCATTGACCTCAAGCAACCAGCCGTAAGCGAGATGGCTCGAGTGGTTAAAGTGCGAATTTACTGATCGGAAGGTCCGTGGTTCGAACCCGACCTCTGCCTCTCGACCTCCCCTGGCCAGGCTTGGGCAACCTGGCAGTATCTCAGCCCTCGTGCTTCTTTCGGGTGGCATGGCAGCTAGGCACCGGTAGGATGTTACAGCTGAACGATGACTGACCGTGAAAAGGATGACAACACAATTATGCGGTTCTATTTTGATAACTGTGTTGACCAGATCGCCAGATGATAAACAAACTGACTCTGGAACTACATACTTGTTCACTACTGTCACGCACATTCGCTGACTTTAGGTCTATCAGCTTGGTGTGCGCCACCTGAGTCTGGAACTACATACTTGTTCACTACTGTCACGCACATTCGCTGACTTTAGGTCTATCAGCTTGGTGTGCGCCACCAGCAGCGGAGTTGGCAGCAGATGCGATGCCAATCTCAGAAGGCGTAGACAGATATCGTCCAGTTGCAGCACCCTTTCAGTGCCTGGCCGCCATGCCACACGAAGAAGGCACGAGGGCCGGAATACTGCCAGGTCGCCCAAAGTCTAGACAGGGGAAGTAGAGTGGCAGAGGTCGGGTTCGAACCACGAGCCTTCCGGTCAGTAAATTCGCACTCTAACCACTTGGTCCATCTCGCGTCGGCAGATATCTTAATACCATTCCAAAGACGATTCAACAAAACATGTTTTGAAGCGAATCAACCTTGTCGATTGCGCCTCAGCAAGCAGGGTTTTTAGGGTCAGATGTCCACGAGCTGAGTGACCGCTGTTGTTGGGGTTGACGCCCTTGAAGATGAGAAATTTTCATTCCTTTAGGAAAGCAGTATCTCATGTGACCGTTTCACGAGCGTGCTCAACTTGATTGTACCAAATCGACTTGCGTAAATCAGAAATCTGTGGGAAATTATACTTTGTTAAAGTGGACGTCTTCAAGCCTCTTTGATTTGAAACCATCGCACCAAGAGGTCCTTTTTATGCAGATATTTTATCTGGGATGCTTTCTACGAAGCTTGGCTTCAGGCCGCCAATTCTTCACATCTACGGTAGTCCGTATGAAAAGAAGCCGATCCGAAAGAGGAAAATAGAAAATAAAAGCCCTGGAGTTATTCACATTTCCAATTCTCGGTCATGCTACCGTAATCGGTGCCAACAGGCCATCAAACTATCGTAGGTATGATTTGCAACATTCTCGGCCACGCGCCGTGGAGCTCATGTTGGCCATATCCACGAAGTCATACCCACGAGAACAGCTTGGAACTGCTTTCATACTAACTGAAATAGGCATAGACACTCATAGACAGTAATGCGCCATTAGTCATCATCATCCTTATTGTCAGCTGTAATAACCGCGTACTTGTCGTACAGTGGTTGTAGCACCAGAAGCTGCGTTGGTTGGGACATGTGTTGTGTATGCCGAACCATCGTTTGCCGAAGAGAGTGTTGTTTTCCATGCCCAACTCAGAGTGGCGTAAACAGAGAGGTGGCCCATCCTTGACTTGGCAGGGGAGTATGAAGGAGATCACGAAACGCTTGGGTTCTGTCGGTGCTACTCGCCTTCCAAGATGGGGATCTCGTGATCCTCACTGTGCCTGGTTGGAGACACTACAAGATATGGCTGCCAACCGATGTCAGTGGTGTTCTTGTTGTCAGTTTCTATCCAGATCGCCTGAGTGAATGTCTGGAGGTGTAGACATCATGCTTGTACAGCAGTTAAGCACCGGTGTTGAACACTGATGTCATGCTGTCGATGATAATGATGATGATGATGTGGTTGTAGCTGCCACAGTTTTATTCACCGATGATTCGGGGAGGTGGGGTAGGTAGCTGCGCATTGGAGACGGGAGCTGATAAATTAGTGTATAAATACAACACTGTAGACCTTGATCCGACCTGAACACAGGCAAGTAGCGTTGTAACGGAACAACTTGACTGAGAATCCCGCTTGATTCCCCAGTGCGAATGCATTGAGACCAAGTCTTTCCTGGGAATATTCGCCCTGAAGGCAGTAGGTGTGAAAATTTTTTTTCCAATATGGGACAGGGTTGAAATGAGGAAAAAAGACTAGCTCATGTTAACGTTCGTATACTCTGCTTTTTCATGATACGGGGAGTTACCAGGATAGAGTGTAAAAGAGGTTTCTGTTCATGCGTCCAATGAAGCCCGCACATCTGTGGATGTGGTTGGTCTGATTCCCGCGAACATCTTTGTTGCAATTGTCTTTCGTTGATGCAAGTGTTGTAGAGAGTTCATCATCTGTCTCTTTGAGTATTGTCTTCTCTTCATCCTTTTGATCCTTACGAGGTAGGCGTTCGTCTGACCGTATCGATTGAATTTTACGAATCTTCTTCGTAAGCGACGTATCTTCGCCACTTCGGGGCAGATGAAAGATTTCGATGGGGTCTTGGAAGCTCCCAAGAATCCAAGAATGAACAAGCATATTGTAATAATGCGACCGGTCAAAGGCATCGGTATGGTCACAACGAGCAATATGGACCATATCAGTAAATTGCGGTCGATTGGCGGCAGACGGGCACCAGTTTTGTAACGACCAGAACGAAAATGAAAAAAAACAAGCTGTCCAACACGCTTGCATCAACAAAGGCCCATCGTGACGTAGACCTTTGCACAGAGATATATCTACCTTATGAGTAGTACATTACAAAGATATACATGTATCGCGGTATCTCGAATATCGTAGCGACTAAAACATGAGGCGGCTTGGTGCAGCACCTTCAGTTGCCTGAGAACATCACAAACGAGAGATTCAGCTGGGTTCCAGGTGAGTCTCTCGAAAAACCAAATTAGTTTGCAAATGAGTGTATATTCGCTAATCATGTCCACTCTATCTATCTGTTTCAGCTTCCCCGGGTTCATGAGCGACGACTTCCTAGAGCAGATTGTACTCGGGGAGGAAATCACCTATCAGGAGACCTACAAGGATGTTATCATGGACTCTGCGTCTGTAGCAGACGCTTCGGGCGTAGGAGCGGATGATTTTGCAGACTCCCCTAGCTTTTCCACCCGGGATAACGACGAGGCTGAAAGACGTCAGATGCGAAATGCCTGGCAACTTGGTCTACATCATGGAGCTCGTTTGGCCTCCGAGTTGTGTTGCTATTACGGAATCGCTGATGAACTGCTCTCTTCCAAGTAAGTTGGTTTCTCACTGTTGAGAATGAACTGTGTTGATGATTGGTATCAAACCTATGTTTACGGGCATTGGTACTATTTCACATACACATTATGTTTTCGTTTGTCAGACTGAAAATCCACCGAACGAACTAGCCTTAATTTAGATGTATAGTGAAAAATCGCTCAGCTGTAACACCGTTCTGGAGCCTAGCTGCCATGCTACCCGAAGGAAGGATGAGGGCCGGGATATTGTCAGGTTACCGAACACGAGACAGGGAAGTCGAGAGATAGAAGACGAGTTCGAACCACGGACCTTCCGGTTAGTAAATTCGCACTCTAACCACTTGAGCCATCACGCCTCTTGGATGTATAATAACTGGAAGCAATCACCGGTTAATCAGTATCGCCGTTTGAGTGTTAGCTGATCTATCTCAGTGTCTGACAGTCTATGTTCTCCAGCCATTGCTGTTGCCGTTTTCGAATATAGAGTGGAAGGTCAGGTCGGCAAATTGTCAAAACCATAACCAACAACCTGAATCTGATTGATAGCTGTTGGTTCTCTTTTTGCATCTCTTGGACTGGCCTATCGTTGTGTCCCACATTCTCTTAATGCCTTATTACATTGAGCCCCGGTCTGGATAACCGATTGATATTCTGGTGCGCTCGGCCAACCAGGTGGGCCAGCTGCTCTGTTGATCACTGTCGCATACTAGCGGTCAAAAGTGAAGAACAACCAATGAAATCTGTCTCAACGAAAAACGGTTATTCCATTGGCACTTATGTAGTCCCGTTACGTTCGGAGCTGGTTCTCCTAATACCTATTTCATTGACTTTCGTCGCCAAATAGAGGGATGAGATGGGTCAGTGGTTAGAGCGCGAATTTACTGACCGGAGATCCGTGGTTCAATTCTGACCTAGCAGTATCCCAGCCCTCCTGCTTCCTTCGGTTGGCGTGGTAGCTAGGTATCGAAACGGTGTTACGGCTTAACGATTCTGTTTTATTATCTATCTCCCAGTAGTGTTCTTGAATTCTGATTGTTGGCTTCAACCTCTGCCCACATCTTCCTGATCTCACCATCATTAGCTTAGCCGTTCACCCGATATCCTATTGCCATTCACAGTAGATTAGCCTGCGCATCTCTTAACGGTTGTGATTTGTGCATGGTTTACGACTGTTGATTTGTTGAACTGAATTGAAAGGAAAGTAAATGGTAATAAGCTTTGGATGTGACTCCGTCTTATGTGTGCGACGGAACATTGTGACCGACGCCTGCTGTGTGATAGTTGAAACTGGCGATCGAAATGGCATAGCACACAAACCAACTTGGAACTTCAGAAGTGGTAACATTTGTCGTTGCCAATGCCAACACAGGTCGATCGTGTATTTAAATCAACCCGTTCGCTCTGCTTGTGAATTTCAAGGAAAAAACAACAACCCGTAAGTAGCTCGGAAAGGAGAATGATTCGCTTGATGAGTGAACCTTCCATCACTCAATGGACCGGTCAACAAGTGATCTTGTGATGTGAATTCTGTGAGGTGGTACTTTATCCTGTCTAGGTGCGAGTTGATTACATTGTTGATCAGCCGAGGTGTCTAGTCTTCAAATAGTAACCAGTAGGCTACAAGTTTGAGTCTGTCTGTGTCAGGACGCGCCCAGACAGAAAAAAAAACAAATGTGCAGAGAGTAATGCATTCCCAAGGTCACCATCGGTTCGACACGTCCGGAAAGTAGGTGAGTTGGCGGCTCTCACCAAACACGGCTTAGCAACATACGACCAGCGAAGTGGACCTGAGTGTTCACGACCGGAACGCCGCCATTGGCTGTACGGAGCGAACAAGTGAACGACCATATTTGGCCATTTAGTCATCCTATATATTTACGCAGACGCTCTGTATGTTTTGTCCTGACAATGCAGCCGTGTCCCCAGTTCTCTGTCTTCTCTCTATCGCGTAGTCTGGCAGGCGTAACCAATAGACGGCCACCCACGATACAACAGTCTGGAGGTTTGTGAGGTGCGCACTGCTGATGATTTCCAGTGCCAGTATTCCTTGGCCTTCCGGAATAGGTAGGCTGAATTGCTCAACGAAAACCTCCTCATACTATCCACAGATTCTCCAGTAACTCCAAACATTTTCACAAACAGGTGGTCGGACGGGATAACGCACTTTCACCTAGTTCCATGAGTCCACGTTAGTACCTGAATTTTTTAACTTCTGTGCAATACAGCATAAGAACCCGTAATTTCGGAACAAGCGAAATCTGTATGCCCGACACTGTCTGTAGTGAGTTTGAAATCCTTACTGAGAACAATAGCTACCCTGAAAATTTCGCTTTGTGTTACAGTCAGTTGATTGAAATAAAGCCAACAGTGGAGAAGGTTCGTCGACTTTACTCTTCAATAAAAAGGTGATATAAACGATAAGCCTGTCAGGAAGGCAACGAGTGCATGGTTCAAACGAGCCCGTTGTACGACTGTTTTCGTAGACCTGGAACCGTCCTCTATCACTTCATGAAGTAATTTCCACCATCTCGTAAACTGGTAGTTATGGCGACGCACACGTGATCAGAACTCAGAGGAGTTTTGAGACGAGTGAATGAGGGTTAGTTGGAACACTTTAAAACTTATATCCTCGGTTTGATTTTGAATCAAGGACGATTTTCGCCGATTCTTGCCGCGTATGGTGTTCCCCAGTTTTCTCGTCGCTGGCATATTGAGTTATCAGTGAGTCGTTCTGGGTTACTTTGTGCCCACGTCACAGTGAGCATTCAGCCGCACGCTAATTTCATCGTCCTCCTCCTCTTTCATGCATCTACTTTGAAAACTGGCAGCGCTTTCTATTTCTGTCAGTCCTGTCCGTGGGTTTGTTATTGCTTGTATCCCCTCACAGGACTTTTTACTTCCTCGCGATTCCCCGAGATCGCTCAAGTGGTTGGAGCGCGAATTTACTAACCGGAAGGTCCGTGTTTCGAACCCGACCTCTGCCTCTCGACTCCTCTGTCTAGGCTTGGGCAACCTGGCAGTATCTCAGTCCTCGTGAAACCTTCGGGTGGCATGGCAGTTAGGCATCGAAAGGGTGCTACAGCTGAACGATTCCCCGAGAAAGATTACCGGCTTATTGTTGCGTGCAGTTGGGCTTCAAGGAATCCCTCGGTTGATACAGTCATGTCGATGATTTTTTCGACCATTTTTTTCACCAAAGCCAAGTTTATCTCACGTACTCGCACAAAGTACAGACTGTTACCCACCAGAATTTCCGATCACCACAATCCTGCGATGCCCTGCTTGTCTCGTTTTCTAGGTTTGCGTGACATCCTTGCGCCTTAATTAAGACGTTTTTCTGTTCAAACGTGTTTATCAACATACTCTATTCATTTTCAGTGATTTGTGCGTAAAGCTCCACCTGACTTCAATTAATATGGACATAATGAGATCCGATTAGCGTAGACATCACCCAGGGTGAATAAATGCTGAGTTGCGTGTCTACAGCGGGCTGGCTCACCTATGCTGTTTTGGATGTGCGAAACTCATTGTGGAAGTAGGTCAAGGTTACAGGTGGAACTGTCACTAATTCGTATGGTAGTTGTTTTGCCCATACTTGAGTTTTATGTTGCAAATGTGTGTGATTCACTCGAAATAACGGACCATCACGGATAGATGTGTTACGATTCTGCTTAGGGGTCTTAAGGAGGCATCCGTTGGATAATGCGGGCCAATCAGAATAGAGCATTTTTACCTTGGAATTTCTCGCCCCACCAATAAGACGCCTTCTTGATCTTGTGAAAATACGACATCACCATTTAAATACAGCATTCGTTGAAAGCTGTCTCAAGCTACTATGCCCTTTGGTGTACTATAGTGGGCTTAGAATTTCCATCTACAACAAAATGTAGTGGATTTTCCGTTAGCTTACCGAATTAGTTTACCAACATGGAGGTTTAATATCGCAGGAGAAAACTGACTGGCAAAATCATTTGGTGTTCCTTAAACTAAGGTTTCTTGTGAAAGGGGATTGATGTTTCCACCTTTTCCGTGACATTTCCTTCAGTCCAGTTCTCCAGTTCCAAGCCATGTATTTTCAATAGAGGAAAATGTCGGTAGCTCAGGTAGCGTAGATGGTCGTTGGCTTGTTCGCTTGTACGTTCCCCAATAACGCACTGATGATGTCAACTCGTTTGGGGATGAAACGTTGCAATCAAATTGCCCAGCTCAGCGAACAAGCCAACGACCATCAAGCCATGCATCGAATTTCGGTGTCCCCAGCTGCTGCAGTTTCGTTCACCGAGTGTAGGGAAAGCAAGGGAATGACGCACACACGTTGGAGGCGATGATGCTAAGTGGTTGAGTTCGTCTTCTATGGTAAGGAGTTAGATTGCCAAACCGTGAGGGCAATATGTTTGATGGCCATCGGCTGCGTGGCAGCCATATTTGTCAGGGTCACTAACCATTGGTCTCAAGGTGGGGAGAGTTACCAACACAGATGCATTAACAGCAGTGCTTTTCATGCCCTGTTGTCCATGTTATGGGTTGACTCCCGCTGGATTATCCCGTTTCGATACATGGCCGGGTGGGGAAAGGCCTATGAAGCGAACGCTTATTTGGTATAAAAAATACACGACCTAACCAGGGTGACTTGTGGATTGTGACCAGTTGGTCAATCGAGATGTCCTTACCTTTCCTGGAAACCTCAGCGTTACTGATCTGATGTTCCTAACAGAACTTCGCAATGCTTCGAAGGCGATCAAACGCCAGAGTCTCAGAGGTCACATCTGTGATTCACAACGTATGACGAATCGAATCGCAGCAGTGTACACTCAACCATTGGCAATCGAAATTATGTCACCTCGCCACCACAAATTTCCGAACTGACACAGGGCACACTTGTCATACACAAATGGATCCAATGAGCTCGGGCGTTAGTTTCCCACAGACTTTCACTGCGGAGAGACGGCCGTACCGAGGCGTGGCGGTCTGTGTACCCGAATGATCCCGTGAGGTATACTGAAGGTGTTTTTCACTTGATTCCGCATGGTTTCTCATACCAGGTTGGTCAGTGGAAGGAATCCTGACGAGCACAACGTCCTGTTGCTCCAGGTTGGAGACTGAAACGAGCACGGTGATCTGTTTCCTAAAAAGCTTGTACTTCTGTATGCGGGCATCCACCTGCTGTCTTGCGATCAAGATTTTGAGCCAAAGGCTTCGGTGAAGACCTATAATCGTCCTCTTGTCCAGGTTTGGTCACTCTGGCAGTATTACAGCTCGTGTGTAACCATGAGTGTCACGACGGGAAACATTGTTGTGCCACACTGGCCATCACGCGATATGAATAGTCAGGTTGCCTTACTGCATACGGTAGGGTGGGTAAGCGAAAACATGCCTTTGTTGATGTCCCGCTTTTTACGCTTTCACGTATTTACTCCTCTACCTTGTTCCACTCCAATTTGAATACTCCCTCTTCAAGTCCCGGTAGTAGGACTGATCGCATGAATCACGCTCAGCTGCATCTTCTGTGCATCCGACTTTGAACATTTCGAAGTTCGTTTGCACACTATCCGGAATCCGGTCGGTCTACTTAACCGCCTTCACTGTTTGCAAGTAAAACAACAGGTGGCTCTTGCTCATGTGCTGGATGTGTGCGGTGTGTCGGTAACAAGGATACAGGAAGCATGTACTGAAACTGGACTGATTGGAATGAAAAATCTGAAAGTAAATCAGTTGTAGCGCCCTTTCTGTTCCTATCTGCCACGCTGTCCGAAGGAAGCACGAGGGCTGGGATACTGCTCAAACCTAGACAGGATCAGTCTGGATGCCGCGGTTGGATTCGAACCACGAACCTTCTGTTCAGTAAGCTTGCGCCTTAACCACTGGGCTATCTCGGGCTCCTTATCGCCTCCTGACTTAATTGAGTTCGTACGTCACCTAATTCGTGCTTGTATACGTGGTAGTGCAATTCTTCCCCTTTAGAAGGTGACCTCACTCGTCCTAACGGGAACAGTTTTAGTCGTCACCTGAATTTGTTGTGAAGAGGATCTCTCTTCACACAACGTCTCTGTTCCTTTACTAACAAGTTGGCATTAACAGATTTCTGACTAATCACACCCTAACGTGATTCGCTCACATAGTTTGAATTGGCAGGTAAACTCACAGCTGGCTTTCCAGACGCAGTCAGTAAGCTGTTAAAAACTAAAAGTACGTCTGAAGTCTTCCAAAGGTCAGTGCGTGGCCCTCTTGCAATTCAGTTAACATTATGAATTTCGGATCATCCGAAATAATTCCACTGCCTCAGGTCTTCGTGTAGTTGAACCATTTAACCCGCTCCCATTGAACTACAGTCGTACATATGGTTTGCTAGTGTCACTTGCCGATTGCGGTTGTTTCTTCTACAGCCGGACACTTCCAGAAGACACCCCACAGTCAATTGGTGCATCAGTCAGTCCGTACGACAAACGCGAATCAGCCATATCTAAAGTTGCCCGTGAGCTACATTTTCTACTCACAGTTCAACCCGGTCTACTGTCCGTCGATGGTGAAAAGCCAGTAGCTCTAAACTTTTCCCAGGATGTGTTCGATCACAATGTGACGTTGATTCGAAACAAGGCGCGCCATTTGAACAGCTTACTGGACCTACGCGCTGTTGAACAAACGATCAGTAATTTGTCTTTCTGATCCACCTATCCCCATCCATTCGATCGTCCTTTCATTTCCTTTGTTTGAATCTTGTGAGGTTCACAATCTTGGAAACCCTTTCGTATTTTCAAAATCAAATTGAAGGAACGGATGACTTGAATTTCTTGAAACTAGGGCAAACCAGACTAGCTTGCTTGTCGTATGTGACTGGATGCGTCACGTACGCGCAGGTCCTTCCGATTGGTCGATATCGATTAATCGATCACCAGTTAAGCGATCGGTCCGTGTGAGATCGATCGAACCACAAGAGCCGGCTTTCGGAATCGTTTAGTTTCAGACAAGTCAACACGGACACGGGTTTTCTGTTAACATGAATAAAATACGAGAATATAAGCAACAAGATACGCCACAAAATAATCGGGAATAATTTTCAGCAGCGGTTGTGAACCTTTGTGAGTACGCCAATTTTTGAATGACTGTTTAGTTTAATGTCTGCACTAGACCGCTTTTGCTCTGAAATCAGTGGAGCTGGGTTGTTCACTCATTTACTTGGTGAAGAAATAGTCGTCTCCCTCAAACCACCCTTGCAATAAGGCATCGGAAGAACAAGGCCGGTTCTGAAGTAGGATGTATTAGCAAACTACACTAGCCAGAGCACATGAGCGCAGGATTCGATTATATGGACTTCAGGGGGAGGGTATTAAAAGAACCAGCTAGGAACCTAACTGGACCACAACAACTGCCAATGGAACAACCGTTTTTGTCGAGACAGATTTAATTGGTTCTTCACTGCTCTCTGGACAGATGAGTTCTGTTTTTAGCATCAGTTTTGCCCGTCTAGATCTTTCCACGTGAGCTTTATAAACAGCTCGTTTTCGGGTGCACATGGCACGCCTGTACGCGTCAGTGTTCAATAGATCAGCTGATTCGCACGTTCGTTGGCTCTCTGGTTTGGCTAAACGAATCAGGTTATCTAGACTTGAGTTCACGGTATTAAGAAGGCATTAAAAAACTGTGATCCACAATAGGGGATTATGAGTAATTACTTGCCATTTTTGGTAGCTGGGAGATAGCAAACAAGTCGTAGTCAATTAATATACACTCATTTGCAGACTAATTTGGTTTTTCGAGAGACTCACCTGGAACCCAGCTGAATCTCTCGTTTGTGATGTTTCCAGGCAACTGAATGTGCTGCACCAGGCAGATTATCATCATTTGTGATAATTGCCAATCGTGAATATGGCTCACTTCTTCATCATTATGACTACGGACAGAAAGCTTAATGTCCCTCCTGTTGCACATCAAGATGTTTACAATGGTACATCAAATCGTCATAAATGAAAAAGACCATGAGCTAATAAAACAAACAATATGCAGAACAGAATCTTTCAATATCTTCATGATCTACGAATACAATCGATCCTATTGGTAGCGAGCATTCATCAGGTCATTGTGTGACTACTTCGACGCCAAGGTCTGTTGCATTCCTTGAATGTTGTAGGGGCACAATTCTGTGTGTCAGTGCCCATATGAGAAGGAAGCAACCTTTCCCTAATGAACCGGCATCCTCAGGTTGCAGCAAGTGTTGTAAATCCAGTGGATTAACGATAAACAGCATATTTTGGTATAATCAGTTCAGATTTTGGTGTTGTTCGAGCATGCGAGTGATGTTTTTGTCGGCTCATGCCGTATCCATATGTTTGTACGATTGAACTTAGACAACAGCTTCACTTTGTTCGTTAGTTCCAATGCGAACCCCGGTTCACAAGAAGCCTAAAATTCGTGCTAAACTGCTGATTCAATGAACGAATTGGACGATCTGATAAGGAGAGTGAGTAGGAGAGTTTCCAGAGTTCCAGTCCTTACACCTTTCTTTTTTTCTGTGGAGATTTCGTCCTGTAAGTGAAGCCAATCTAGGCTGAAAAGCTGTTTCGTTCTTACTGGGAATCACCAGCAGTGCGCGAATCTCCGGAGGGTCACGAGCCCGCGAACTCCCGGTCAGTAGCCACGAGCGGCTGATCCATCTACCCTACTGCAAGTGTTTTCACACCGGCTAGAACTCGAAGTAATATTTACCACTGTATGTGCTTGTCCTGGATTTGGGCAACTTGTATGCCATTGGTATCAAAGTTCGACATCATCTGTCTAGGATACTTGCCTTGAATGCCGTACTGAGATAATGCAGTTTGATTAGCATGTTTGTAAAGCCCTGCTTGGGATTTTATACCATGATGCGAGTGTCCTATGGTGTGCACCATATTAGCATCACTCGAACACCGACGGGGTTGGCTCTTCTGCTCCCAAATGTATTACTTCTACTCTTGAATGTGTGTTTTTGTGACAATGCAGCACCATCAAATAGAGCTGAGCAGCTCGTGACGTCTGCAACGAGAAAAGCTAACAGTGAGACAACTCAGCGACTCTAATGGGTTAGTGACCGGACAATCTGCAACCACTACCAGAGTTCACTTGGTCACCTGACCGTCACTCACACCCTATCGGGCCACGTGTCAGTGATCTGATCGGCAATTGCACTCATCTCATTGGAACGCTAGCCAGTACTGGACACAAATCACTGCTAACTCCAATATGCTTGAAATATTCTACGTGCAATTTCCAGCTGATAATCGGCTCTCCCCCCCCCCCCCGCCGATCACCAGAAAGCAAGCAATCATCAGGGCTCTGACCTGTAAAGCTGAATCCGAAAGCTAAATCCATCAGACTCTCTGCACCCATAAGATCCTCAGTAGCTTCATATGGAAAATGGAACTCCGATTGTTTGTTGCTTCAAGAACGAGGCTCTCCGTAAGCTTTGTGAACCGGGGGACAAAACTGAATGTCTGTTTTTAGGAAACGCTATTCAGAAGTTAGCTGAAATATCTGACAACTTACGACTAGCTTCGCACTTCTTTGGGCTCATCGGATGGGGGTGGTCTCCAAGTTCCCTTCAACCTTATGCTTCCTGTAGACGCCTGCAAGCCCGTCGGTACCGACGATTAATTCTTTAAAGGGGGAGTGAATTCGGCTTCAGTAGTCATCTCATACTTTAGGCTTAAAAGAACAGGTTGTTTAAAAGATGGGGTATTTGAATAAGTTCAGAGAGTACGAAGGAACCAAAGACCTCAGTTCTGATATGGCAAGCAAGGCCCTTGATCAGTCAAAGCTTTTTCTCTCTTTCGTTGTCTACTGTCAGGGGGGCGAGTTTATAGTGCTTGCGAACTTGGTTTGGTCCTGACCACGATGGCAATAAATGCCAAAAGATAGATGCAGCGAATTTTATGGCAAGTAGGGCTAATCGTGTGTGCTTGCTCTCCTTTCGTTTCACTGGATCGTACTTTTCTCATATATGGTCGTTCTGTTTACAGGTAGTTGTCCCATAACAAAGTCAAAAGAATTTCGGCGAATAGTTAATCCTGGGTTCGGCTTGTTTTGATCCGATAATCGGTTATTTGATGATCACAAAACTAGTAGCCTGATGGGAGACACAGGATCTATCTCACGTGAACACCATCTGGTTGTCCATTGATTTTCACAAGCCTAAAGCCTTGGAACAGGGGTCAGAGAAATTGAATGCTAAGGTCGATTCATTTCACACAACCTCTGACACACCATTCGTTTGGCTGTTTACCTCGGTGCAGCTCGGAAAACTGCGTTTTAATGCTGATATCGGTCCATCCAGTAGGCGGAGAGACTGCGTCTGTCGTTGAATTTCCAGCACCTAATCACATCAAATCATTTTTATGACCTTCAAGTTGTCGAGAAATACACTCATTTGCAAATCAGTTTGGTTTTCACCATAGACTCAACTGAATCTCTCATTTATGAAAGTCTACAACTGAATGTGCTACACACAGGCCGCCTCATGTTTCAGTTGGCACGATATTCGAGATATCGCAGTATATTTTCATAAAGGAAACTACTCACAATGCTGCTGAAAATATCATAAGAGGACAGTATAAAAGAGAGATTCAGTTGAGTTTCCCATGAAAACCACATTGATTTGCAAATGAGTGTATTTCTCGAAATTAGTGCAATTTGGGTACAAGTAGAACATAAAGTTGACGGAAACTAGGGAACTGCGCCTACCTGATGAGCCCCAAGAAGGGCGAACCTGGTCTTGGGCTGTCGAAGATTTTTCAGCAACCTTGTGAGTAGTTTCCTTTATGAAGAAGCTTCAAGTTCTATTTTAAGATCACTCACCACTACGCGATTCCCTTCCATCGAACCCAACAGTGATCGCCTTACAACGGGTAGTTACACGCGATAGTCACTTCTTTTGACTGTAACTGATAGCCTGCTAAAGGCAACTTGCGGGGACTCGGAACAGCAAAACTCAAAATATGTCGCCTGCATTCATATGAGGGTGGGCAATGATCTCGTCTTCGGGATATGTTCCTAATTCTGTGCTTGCGTCCAAAGTGAATTTTGTTGAACTATCAGTTCGTCGGTTGACTACGCTTGTGTGCTCGTGACTTTATTTCTTTGGTGAGGCCTGCATCCTCGTGTGGTGCCTGTTATGCATGAGGGTTGCTTAGCCATAATAACAGTTGTGTATGGCCTGGCAGAGTTTCTTGGCTAGCAAAGAGGGTACATCTCGACCAACTCCGGCCATTCTCACATGGGCTGTTCGGACTGCCCTGGCTGTAGTCATGTCGGATTCTCAGTGACCCTTGGTGTGTCATCATTTGTTTGTCTGACCACCGAAAATCACTTTGTTAAGACAAACTACATGAAGTTGAATGACGTTCAACAACCATGGAATATCCCCAGACAGGTGCTGAAATTGCTTACTCGTTTTGCGTATCTCAATAGTTCTTTAGTTAAAAGGATATCTCCATAGATGAGAGCGTGGTTCATCTATCTCTACTTCACGTGTAACTCCGGGGTGTTTGCCTAAAGGAAAGATCTGATACCTGTGAAGGAAGGAAAGCCATTTGCTGCGAAGTTATCTATTAGCAAACACGAAGCATGAGGCACAAGAGTAAAAATCTCATCTGCACAGTTCTTTAAAATTGAACACATTGGAGCATCCTCTTGAACCTTCTTGGAGGTTCACTAAGTAGTAAACAATAGTAAACAAACACTGCAAGGCGGTTTCATGATTTCCATGGTAACCTTCGCATTCCATCGGAAGCGGGGGCAGAGCTT